GCGCGGGAGCAACACCGAGGGTTGCAATCCCGTTGCCGGTCCCGGTCCGGTACGGGTGCGACACTGAGGGTTGCGATCCGTTGCCGGACACAAAAAAAGACAAAAAGGAAAAAAAAAATTAACTTGGTGAAGGTTTCACAGCCAGGATTCAAACCCAGTTATTCTGACTGCAGAGCCTGTGGTCTTCCTCCCTGTGTTGTAAGCAACTGGCCTACTGTCATGCACGGATGAGTTCCGGAGTGGCAGTGCAATGGTGAGCCTGCTCTGCTCACTGGGCCTGACAGCTCCTGAAGGTAGTGTATTAACCACACTCATTTGAATATAATTCTATTTATTCTATTTGAGCTGTTTTCAAAAAGGATCCTCAGTCTATAGAGAGATTTGAAGAAGGTGGAAACTGCCCCCAAACAAAGTGAATTTGAAAATTCGTGTTAAGGCTGGTTCAAAATCAGCCTTAGCTCTGAGATGAGAGAGAATCCCCAGTGCATCATGCAGCAGCAAGGAGAGGGCCGTATCTCAAAATATCTCTTCTAAGAGATGTACCTGCAGGCTCCGCATGCCCCACATCAAGAAATGTTGCTTTGATTTATTCAAGGGTCCGGAGTGCCCTGTTAAAATACAAATTCTAGAATAAATTGTTAAACTATACGTTTTTGAATACAGGGAAATAAGAAAAGTGATCACCAGAGGCCAGATTGGCTCCTAGGAACAATCCCATTGCTTTTAGTTGTTCGAGAACAAAGTGGATGCCTTGTGAAGAAGTGAGCTTCCTGCCCCAGAAATGTTGAGTGGAGCACAGGTGACCCCCCACCAGAATGGGGGCCCCCAGCTGCACTGTCTCTTCTCATTGTAAGAATCCGTGGTTCTGAGGCTAACGGGCAGAAGAGCACCCACCCACCCACAATCAGCTGCTGGCGCTTTGCTTGGGATTGGCGTGGTTGAGCACAGACGATGCCATATACGGCTCCATCATCCCTACTAGGGTCCAGCGGTTTAAAACGTAGGTTTTGTTATTTTTCAGGTATGGTGAGGTCAATAGTTCAGGAGACAATAGTCACCAATTAAAACGTAGGTTTTGTTATTTTTCAGGTATGGTGAGGTCAATAGTTCAGGAGACAATAGTTGCTACTTGCAAGCAGTTGCTACTTGCAGTTCCCAGGAGGAAGGGGCTCACCGTGCCCGGTGGGGAGGGNTTAAAACGTAGGTTTTGTTATTTTTCAGGTATGGTGAGGTCAATAGTTCAGGAGACAATAGTCACCAAGCAAGCAGTTGCTACTTGCAGTTCCCAGGAGGAAGGGGCTCACCGTGCCCGGTGGGGAGGGGGCACTCGGGGAAGCACAGGGTCGGTTCGGAGGTAGAGGGTGCGAGAGAAAAACACAGGCAAGAGTCTGTGTTGTGGTTTCCACGTGAGGGAACAAGTCGGGCAGGGGAGGCAGGTTTAGGATTAGCTAGTTTGAATAATTTCAGAACTCTGAGGCATAGGGGCTATCCGTAGTTGTCTGGCACCAGGCCCTGGGGTGAATAGAGCAGGGGAATAGTGGCCCAGAGGTTGACAGCCTCCTAGAGAAGGTGGTCAGGGGTGTGGGTCTGCAGATGAAAGGCACACTCACAGGCAAGCTGTTCGCTATCTCTAGGAACTGGCCCAGTGCCCCTCAGGGCAGTCTCTCCAGGGTCAGCAAGACCTTAAGATGGCAAAACATCAAAAATACAGAATAAAAAGACACAATTAATATACTTGGTATCCAGCAGGCATTCAAGGGTTGAATAAATAAATGAATGTATGAATGTTTGTAAGAGTGAGCTACTGAACAGACCTATTTGGAAAGGGAGAGTGGAAGAATGGCCCCAGCACGTGAGACTCGCAGGGGCAGCTGGAACAGGAGGCCGGCCAAGGGGCCCCGAACTCCAGAGGAAGAACAAAGAATTGATGTCAGAGGTAGGGTCCAGGGGCCCGACAGTCAGTCTCAACCCACCCTGTCCTCTTACCAGGTTCTTGGCTCCACCACAGGAAAGAATTCAAGGTCAGAGTCACAGTAGAAAGTGAGAACAAGTTTAATATAACAGATAAGAACTGCAGGTTCCACAGAGAGAGTGTGGCCTAGCTCTAGAGACTCAGCAGGGCCACACCAAGTTGAACACAAAAGCAAGTTCAGTACAGACATCAAGTCTAACACAAAAGCCAGAAAAACACACTTAAAGTCCAGTACAGAGTGCAGGCTGGCTCAAGAGAGTGAGCAGCTGCTGCTGAAAGTAAGTTAGATACAAAGGAATTTTTACACACCTCAGCCAGCCAAGGGCAGGCTGCCTCCAGGACAGTGAGGAACAGCCCTGCCTTCTGCTGGGATTTGGCTTTTATAGTTTTTCTGTTTAGTGAATATTCAGGTAACGGGGTGGTTCCCAGCTGTATGCATCAGAATGTTCTGTGCTCTCTATTGAGCATGCCCAGCTGCTGGGTTGCATAAGCCAGCCCCCTGTGGTCTCATTTTCCTTGTGTTGGTGCTAAAAATAGGTCTAACTGGCAACAGTTACTTTCCTCTAGGGGAAAGCCCAGAGGAGGGGGCCTGAGACCTCAGGGAGGGGCTGGAAACCCAGAAGCATGTCCGGAAACCGAGATCGGAGCCCAGAAAAACTGAGCACATCCTGTAACAGAATGACCCTGAGGACACAGCTCAAGTTGTGGCCCCTGAAATATATGTCCAGGTCCTAACCCTTGGAACCTGGGAATGTGACCTTGTTTGGCAAAAAAGTCTTTGTAGAAGTAATTAAGTTAAGGATCTCACACGATAACATTCTAGATTAGGGCAGACCCTAAATCCAATGACAGGTGTCTATTAGGAAAAGACGCAGCGACGCAGAGGAGGAGGCCATGTGAAGACGGAGACAGAGATGAGAGTTACGCTGCTGCCAGCCAAGAGGGATGCCTGGAGCCACAGAAGCTAGAGGTGACAAGGAAGGATTCTCCACTAGGGTCTTCAGAAGGAGCGTGGCCCTGCCGACACCTTGATTTGGGACTCTGGGCCTCCAGAACTATCAGAGAATAAATCTCTGTTCTTTTAAGCCACCAAGTTTTGTTAATTTGTTGGGGCAATCCTAGAAAACTACTACGGGGTGGCAACATCAGAGTGAAGAAGGCAATTAGGCTTTTAAACAAAAGCTCTGGGCTCTCTTGTGGACATGCTGCAGGTGGCCGTGTGGCCTTAGGCAAGTCACTTGGCCTTTCTGGGTTGTTTTGCTCAGCAGCCCATGAGAAAGCAGGGCTGAATGATCAAGAAGGCCTCTGCCCACTCCAAGGAGTCCTGGCCAGACACAAACCCCTGATCCTGAGGGCTGCAGAGGCCCCGTCGCGCAGTGGGCTGAGGTCAGTGACTGCCAGCACCAAGAAGGCGGCCATTCTCCGTCTGGAGACTGAAGTTGGGCCCTGGACTCCAACTTATCAGAAGAGACACTTGAGCAGAGTGACCTCACAAGGCCCCTTTTCATAGGGACCCAGGCCGACAGTAGCCAGTGCTATGTGCAGGGAGAACTGTTGTCAAGTGTGGAGGCCGCCAGTGACAGTCTAGTTTCATCTCTGGATGTGCTGGCTCTGGTGCAGTGTCGCTGGACACCGCTGTGACACACCTTCACTGAAAAAGGAGAGAGGTGACATCCGGGAAGACGAAGTCTGTCTCCACCTCCTCCTCATCACAGACGGCCTTGACTACAGCGTTCCTTAGAAACAGAGGGCCTCTTTGCCCATCCCTACCCCCTTTAACCATCATCCCCCTGGCTTCATGCTAAGTGTATGGATCTGCCATTGAGGTGGGATTTATTATTACTGGTTTAGCAAAGAGGATTTGGGGCTGGGTTTGGGGTGGAAACTACCATCCTTCGACAACCCCAGAATCTTGAGATAGTTCCTGAATACTGACGTTGGCAGGATTTCACGTGAACGTTGTGCTCTGCTCTATCAAGGGGACATGAGGCTGCCTCAGCTGCTGTTCTCAAAGGCCCTGCCTGGGAAGCACCTGGGGTCAGGCCCGCCCTGCTCCCTCCTGGCTGCCAGGCCCCGGGCCAGCGGTGGCCTCCCCTGCAGCCGCGCTCAGGAAAACATCAGGCAGAATTTAGTTTGCTCATCTCATACGTGTGGCAAGATCTACCCGGGGCTCCTTAAACACTCTACAGTACTTGGGGAAATAGGCTTTGGACTTAGTACAAAGTTTCATAAACACTAAAATAAAGAAACTGATTCTAACGAGCATTTTAAAAGGAAGACTTTTAAGTTTAACGAGAAGCTCATGAAACTGAGAGGAGGAATATTCCCTGCCATTTAGCCTCGTGGCATGTGTCATGAGGGTCCTTCCGCATCACTGTCTACTCCTTAGGGTGATCTCGGGAGGTCTGGAAGGTCAAATACAAATACAGACAGTTATAGAGGAGGAGCCTGAGGAGCAAAGGCCTGAGCCTCATGGTTTCTCAGAGAATCTGGGGTCATTATGCCTCAACTTAATGCTGCCGGTAATAAAGAAAACCTCATTTTACCATGGAGGANCCATTTAGCCTCGTGGCATGTGTCATGAGGGTCCTTCCGCATCACTGTCTACTCCTTAGGGAGGACTGGAAGTCAAATACAAATATAGACAATTATATAGGAGGAGCCTGAGGAGCAAAGGCCTGAGCCTCATGGTTTCTCAGAGAATCTGGAGTCATTATGCCTCAACTTAATGCTGCCGGTAATAAAGAAAACCTCATTTTACCATGGAGGAAACTGAGGCACAGGGATGAGAAGTGACCAAGGTCACCCAGCTAAAAAGTAGAGGAGTCAGGATCTGCAGCCAGCCAGCCCATCCCAAACCCATACTCTCAATTATCAATAACAACAGGATAATTGGGGCATGCTAAATTAATACCAAAAATGGTAAATTTACAAAAAAAGAATCCTGCTATTTAAAAAAAATACCCAATTCTCCTCCCCCCATAGACTTTCCAATAAAAAATGAAAATATTGTGTCCATGCTACTTTATTCTTATACGACTAAATAGTCTACTGAATATAAAGCAAGAGAAATATCTTTAAATATTATTCATGGAAAGAAATTTGACATTTGTTCAAAATAATCACTGGATGGCCTTATCAGATCCGGCTTTCGCTTGCCATTGAATCCTGAAAAAGAAAAGAAAAGTGTGCAGCTCAGGCCAAATTGTTTTCAGAATCAAGATGAAGCCCATGGGTATGTTATTAAAAAAATTTTACAATTATACCTCAATTTGACATGTCATAAATGATCACTTTCCCCATAATCTGTGCTTATAAGATTGGTCTTTGCTGCATCTAATTAGGCCGCTAGGTTTGTGTAAGTACTGTGGACTCAGGAAACCTCTTCCCTTGTGC